AAATATCTGAGCACAGTGTGTGATGTTGTTGAGATCTAGTCTACAGCTTTGAAAGAGACAAATGTGAGAGATCCAGAGTCTCTAGCTTAGGAGAAATATCTTAGCACAGAGTGTGATGTTGTTGAGGTCTATTCTAAAGCTTTAAAAGAGACAAATGTGAGAGATCCTCTCTATATTTGTCTCCTCAAAAGTTTAGAAGAGGGCTCAACAATATTACACACTGTGCTCAGATTTTTCTCCTACACTAAGACTCGAGAGCTCTCACATTTGTCTCCTCTAAATTTCAGAAGTGATCACAATAACTTTACAAAGTGTGCTGCACCAAGTCAAATGCCTCAATATGAGCTCAAACTTTTCTTCCATATAATATGTATTAATAATCAAAATGATCAATTAATAATCAAGACTGAGTCATAAGCCATTTATATGCCTTTCAGCAAAGAAAGCTCCAGGGTTGCATTTTCTATAGATCAGTTTTGATTAAGGCATCCGGTACATTACTATTTCCAACAACAAATTATGTGCCAAAGTACATAAACATTGTCCTATAAAAAGTAACATTATCCTTATTTCTGCATAATTTCTCTCTCAGTATAGCCTTTAACTCTGAATTAAGAAGTTAAAGGCTATATTTATTTTATATAATAAATAAAGGCCCCCCTTTATTTATTGCCTTTACTTGACTTGATGCACACTTTGTAAAGTTGTTGGGATCTTTTCTAAAGCATTACAGGAGACAAATATGAGACCCCCAGATTATTTAGCTAAAAGAAAAATCTAAGCACATTGTGTGATGTTGTTGAGATCGCTAATCTAAACTTTTGAGGAGACAAATGTGAGACCACCAGAGTCTTTAGCTAAGGAGAAAAATCTGAGCACAGTATGTGATTTTGTTGAGATCTCTTCTAAAGCTTTAAAGGAGACAAATATGAGACCACCAGAGTCTTTAGACTAGGAGAAATATCTGAGCACAGTGTGTGACGCTGTTGAGATCTTGTTTGAAACTTTGGAGGAGACAAATGTGAGACCCCCAGAGTCTCTAGCTAAGGAGAAATATCTGAGCACAGTGTGTGATGTTGTTGAGATCTAGTCTACAGCTTTGAAAGAGACAAATGTGAGAGATCCAGAGTCTCTAGCTAAGGAGAACTATCTTAGCACAGTGTGTGATGTTGTTGAGGTCTATTCTAAAGCTTTAAAAGAGACAAATGTGAGAGATCCAGTGTCTGTAGCTAAGGAGAAATATCTTAGCACAGTGTGTGATGTTGTTGAGGTCTATTCTAAAGCTTTAAAAGAGACAAATGTGAGAGATCCAGTGTCTGTAGCTAAGGAGAAATATCTTAGCACAGTGTGTGATGTTGTTGAGATCTCTTTTAAAGCTTTAAAGGAGACCATTGTGAGATTGTTAGAGTTTTTGTCTCAGGAGACAAGTTTGAAAGCAGGAGACTCAAGCAAAAATCTCCATTCGATCTTAAAGTAACCTCATTTTTGTCTAGGAGAAATATTTGAGATGTTAAAGAGATCTCACTTTTGATTTTTCTTTCCTATGGGCAGTCTCATTCACTTTCATGGCATTAAAAGGAGTAGCCAGAATATTCTTTTAAAGAAAAAAAATACATATAAACTTTTATGTTCCACAAAGAAAACCACACAGGTTTAGAATGACATGAGGTTGAGTAAATGCTAACAGTGTTTTTGGGTGAATTATCTATTTAAGATCATATTCATTCTGTTTACTAAGTGATGAACTAATGCTCACAGCCTGTCTGACTGCCGTCAGATCTTTCATGCCAGGCCGATCCAAGGCGCTTAATATTCTTAATAACAAACTCTCTGTTATTCCTCATTATCTCTGCCTTGGACTTTGATCGCTCCTCGCTTCTCCGACAGCAGGATATCTAGGATCAGCAAAAGGTCATCAAAGCCTGGTTTGATGGTGTGAACCCATCCCTGGCAAAACTTCTGTGTGAATTCAGATCAACCCTGTCATTCAATTCCCCCAGTGGACCTCACTTCTTAAGAGTTGCCCTACTGCTCTAACCTGTGCACACTTGTTTGTTCAAATATCTCACATTCACAGCAAGAACATTTTTCCCCATCATACCTTGGGCAGGCAGGCTAACAGAAACATGGCTGAGCCCTGGAATAACACCCAGTGAAAGCTGCTGGTGTTTCTTAATTGGACTCAGCTCTTTTGACATTGAATTATTTTGAACTGAAACCGCTTAACCACAATACAACTTCTGTTCTGCTCGCAACAATGGGCTGTTGTGTTATCTTCCTGTTGACTTATAGTGATATTGCCCCAGGACTGCACACTTATGCTGTCATAGGTTTAACATTGTTTAAATATATGTGAAATGTTACAGGGAAAAAATGTCAGGGAACTTCTGATTTGGAGTTATTATATGCTCTGTCAATCATGTTTGATGGAATAAGATATTAAATTAAATCAGTATTGACTTACAAATATCCTTGGAGAAAGATAGAATGAACAAACTGAATTTTTAGCTTTTTTAAAAATCAATTACAGGTGCTGCATTTGGCCAAAATTTAGCTTTTCGGTTTCACTGCAACTTTTCAAGTTTCCAGACGGTCGAAATTGTACTTGTTTGGCTTCATTTGAAATTTTGCTTGGCATCTAGATGAGTCATGGGATCTACAATATGTGTGTGTAAGAAGGACAGAGAGGGTCTCCTGATGGGCTTTAAAAGCCAGCAGTCATCTCTTACAATAACAAACACACCAATCCAGCCCATCAACCGTGCAAGACTTAAAACACCTTTCTTTTGTGTTTTCATTCAGGAGACATGCACGACTGAACACGTCGAATGTCTTTCGGTAACACGTCAGAAGATCTGTCTGGTATGTTCTTGTGGGTAATATTATTATTATAATAATTTTTTCAGCAATGGTGTAGCATATACTCATTCTCTAATATCACAGAAATGCTAAAAACTGAAGCGTGTGAATGGTAAACACATGAACTCACAGTAAACACATTTTTCTAATTGCAAGCTGTCATTTTTGACAACTGACATGCATATAAACAACAGGAAAATGGATCCACCCTGCACTAAAACATATTCTGACAGTGATGTCTATCAAAACACTTATTATTTAAGGAGTTTTGATTGCTTTCCATTTTTACTTCATATTTTATTTGTTATATATTAAACTAACTTGAACTGAGGTCAAGTTTAGCTGGTTATTATATATATATATATATATATATATATATATATATATATATATATATATATGTCTACTATTTGT